AATATTTACCGATGGATGGCGGATAATTCGTACATTTGTAAGTTTTGTTCATTAATTTTGCAGATGTTCTATTCACATCGCTTAAAGGTATGTTCAACCTTCAGTCGCTGTTGTGCGTAATTGAAAATTAAACATCCTCACATTTGAATTTTCAAATCTGCTTCTTCTTTTAAATATGTTGACATAGATTCCCTTTTCAATCTATCAGGAATGAATTAACGTTAACATGACTATCGAGGTCGCGCGAACGTTTGTTCACTCATTTCGAATTCGTTCCCTCTTCGTTCTGATCTTACTCTCTTACTACCTTCTTTACTAGACTGCAATTTCCATAGAAGGAATTGCATAAGTTACATTTCATACTCATCGAAAAATCATATCTGCTATTATTTCAAGGTGGTCCAAGTCGAGAACTTGATGGATCTATTGTAACGTTTCTGAACGAAGATGAAGGCTTGGCTTGTACAGCTTGTGAAACGGTAGGATGGTTTTGATTATATCGTAGTCCAAATTCTTCTAGTTCTGGGTGTGGCCTTGAAGAAGTAAAATGACTGTCCTTTGAATTTATTCTTATTTTGAGCGGCTTGATTGCCAAAAAAAGTGCCTAAAAATGAAAAAAAAAACATAGACTCCTCGAATTTTATCTAGTTGAACTTTTTTTGCTACAAATGACATAAAGATAATTAACGCATGAAATTTCGACTAAAATTTGTAAAAAAGAGCCTACCATTTTCTATTTGATTGAACCAATTTGCAGAGAAGACAAAAACCGCCGACAGAGGCATGTGGAGTACGGACAAAGGGAAAGGGAAGGGACGAAGAACCTCGAATAGGGTGCTTTCCTAGTAAGTGAAAGTTTCCTTTTAAAACGTCGCTTGCAGCGAATTTGCACCTCGTAAATTCGCAAGTTGCATATTCATACGAAAACGCGTATTCTAGTTCCTCAGCTCTGTTTGGACGACTACACGCTGCGTTATGCGAATGCGTTCCCGGAGGAACTCGAAAGGGCTAGGGCGAGGGCCGAGAGTCGTACGTCATTGCTAGAGAGAGGTTCCAATGAGCACGGAAGCGAATCGCGATTTCATGGCCTTGATACCAATCGACTAAGTAAAAGCAAATCCAATCTAGCACATGAAAACGCTGTAGACAACGAGCAAGCACTTCCATCCCTTACCTCAACCACTACGACTGCTATTCCATTGGTTGATAAGAAATCCAAAGGAAATCAAATCTCCCCATTCTTCACGACAACACCAGATCTGGATAAAAAGGACTCTGCGTCAGATTTCCAAGACATCACCGATTTTGATACCCCATTCAGTACCGCTATACCCGAGATGACAAGGATCATTAGCGAGCTACACTTCCCATCTACTACCACAAAAGTTCCCCTGATCCTTCCTACCTTAATCCCATCAGATCTTGGGACAGCTACTGTCGTATCTCAAACTCTCCTCACGACGGTACCTCAGGGACTAACGGCTTCGAGAGTCTCAACACAAGTTGAGGAAAAAGAAACTGAGTCTATACCAGAAGAAGTGGAAGAAGACGTTCGCGATAATCTAGCGCACAAACGGCGTGGTCATCATTTCTTTGGAACGACCACTGTTCCTACAACAACTACTACTATTCCCACGACAACTACACCTAAACTCTGTAAAGACAAACATAAGGTGCCTCTAACCTTTGCGTAGAGCTTCATTAATATTGAGTTCTGATAAGATTTCTTCTAGCTATGCTGCTTCTGGGCTGTTGCTGGTGAATGTGAAACAAATCCTTTCTGGATGCGAGTACAATGTGCGAAAACATGTGGAACATGTAATTGTCCTCGTAAGTTGCAAGATTTTCCCTTATTTTTTTCTTACATTAAACCATTAAATCCCCTCTCGCTAAGAATTTTCTGTTTCTCTATTTTTTTTGCGCCAAAAAACTTGCCCATACACTTATAGTGATAGAAAAA